GCACTAAATGGAGAAAATGGAACAAAAATAGAGCAAGTTGGAGTCAAAAGAAGCAAAAAGGCTTATGTTGATCTGACACATAGGTGCCATGATCGGTGTCTAGGTGCCATACTACAGAGAGCCTGGTGCCTAGGTGCCAGAGGTGGTTATCTAAAAGATTCAATGAACGTTGACGAATTTTGAAGGGGTGCTTGAAGAAACTCTTGGGGATTCTGAGAGCTTTATTTAAAGAGAATTCTAGAGATTTAAAGGGGGCTCTTTTAGAGAGAAAGGAGAGTTAACTTAGAGAGAAGGGGAGTCTTCTTAAAGAGGAGAAAGTCTTGGAGGCTTGCTTAGATTTGGAGGAGAAGAGGAGAAGTGAGAGATATCTTCTTCACTACAGTTCTAAGTGAGATTGGAGTGAAATTGTAAGGAGAGTGAGTGATTCAAAGGAACTTGAAGGATTACTTGGGAAGGAGTTTAAGACAAGTTGTGTGCTTTGTTTATTTTACTTAGTTTTGTTTTGTAAAATTATATTTATCTATAAATCCATGTGTTGTTTCTTGCCCATGAGATCTGAGTAGTTTTGTTTATTTTTCTCTCTGCAATGAGGAATAATTATGTGTAGGAATGAAGTTTAATAGAAGTGCTTTCAATTTCATAAATTATGATGATTTAAACTCTATGCTTAATTTACTTAGCGACCTGACCAATTATTTTGTTAAAATCTATTATGAAATATAGTGACCCAAAATGGGTTATACCTTCCTCAACATAGTAAGAATCACATTTAGTTTCATGGATGAGAATGTAGTCCATGAGATTAAGTGCAAATAAATAAAGAAATAAGTTTTGATGGGTGCAGAATTAGGGGTTTTAAAGTGACAGACTAAAATCCCCAATTCGGTCCAAATGTCTGGAAACTAAAACAAGATGTTTGCCTTCAGGTGAGGGGAAAGTGGGAACTCTAGAGTAAGAGCTAGTATCTTCCCACCCTAACCACCAGTTTAGGGACTAAACTCTGGAATAACCAATGTTCTTCATGCACTCGAGAGAGGGTAAATAAGAGATATACTCCTATTTGACACAATACATTAATTATATTTAAAATTATTTTATTTCTACACTGATTATAAACTCATTGCAAGGTGAAGGATATTTAACATAAATTTGAACTCTTCTATACATTGTTAGTTTAGAATTGTTTAGTGGTAACTTTACATTTAGCCTTTTATCTCGCATTTACATTCTACATTTTCTTAGCATACTTAGCATTGCTTTTAATTCATTAGGATTAGGTAATACAGAAAAACTTTTATCATTTCCTATATAAGTTAACTATAGTTTAAAGAAAGTTTTATTAAAGTAATCCTATGAGTTTTGCCTATCCCTATGGGATCAATACTTAGGACCCAATTAGAGCACTATAATACTTGAAACGATACATATACTTGCATAGTATGCCTAGTGTGTAAACCAATTTATTAATTTAATATAATATTTAATTTTGCACACTAGCCTAAAGATGAATTGAAATTACTGCGTAACTGTGAGTTGGGTCACATCACCCTCTCTATCCTATTTAGTTTCTCCCCACAAGCCAATATGTCATGCACCTCAAGGCCCTATTGTATCTCTGTTGATTGAGTTAAGGAGTTTTAAATCTCGTCTAAGGAGTGTGCTAGTTATCTGGAAGATTTACTGTGCACATTAGCTGCTTCCTCATAAGTCTCTACAAAATCGTTTGAGTAGTTAACCCCATCATCCTAGCTCAAGGGTTGGTTTCCCTTAACTATCATATGGACAATTGTCATTGGCGCCACAATCAACTTCTCACTGACATCCACTGAAGGCAAGTCAACCTTCATGGCTTTCGAAGTCAGATCTTCTACACCAAGAGATAAGATAAAGAAAAAAAGACTTAAAAAATAAAATTCTAACAATTAACATTTAGGGTCCTCTTATCGATTAGTCAATCCAACTCAGATATTGTAAAAAACAGAGTGCCCTCACCATGCGACGATAGAGCACCAATAGCTGACCCGATGTATTGATGGTCAAACCAGTCTCCTGAACATTCCTTTACTTTGTACCGAGGAAAAAATCTGATGACCCCATTTAAACTATTAGCACAACTGTTTTTCTCTTGATAATGATAGTTTTTTCTTCCTTTCCCCATTCAGGTTGTACCGCTCATTCAGCCTCCCAAAGGCAGCACAGAGTAGATTCTTGTTGAGGATATTGCATTGCGTATTTGACACTTTCTCAATCACAACACTCAAGAGTGATTGATTCAAGAGAGAGGGACGAAGCAAATAAGGAATGGGAAGAGTACCATCAAACCATAGTTATAAGAATCAAAAGCATGAAAATTAAGGGGGTTTAGTAATTGAATCATTAGTTTCAGACCTTATTTTTAGTCAATCCTTTTTCATGCTTGTATTTAAACTCAATTTCACTTGAGCTGGGTCTTGAGAAAATCCTAATTTAATAAAATTGAGATTTAACTTAACAAAATATTAAATTAATCAAAATAAAATTAAAATATAATGAATTTCAATCAAACCCTAAAGTTGACCTAAAATCAGCCTTAATCAACCTAAATCCAAAAATTTTTATTCTCTCTCTCGTTGTCATTAAATGACTCAAAACTTCATTATGAAAGTTTCATAATCACATATAAATACCATGTAAATAATTTTAATGATTGTTTTAAATGATTTTTTTTGGTAAAATTCTTCAATTTAAAATTTCAAGCATGAAAAGTACTTTTTCACTAACCGTAAAATTATCGCTCTCACCATAGATTGATCCGATGATCCAGATTACATTATGTGCATTTTCATTATAATCACATGATAGAAGCATGCAAACTTGTTTAATGGTCATTGAACACCATTTTTACATAAAATCGTGCTCTTATGATTTTCATGCTAGTAAAATGGCCCCACATAAAATTTTTCAATGAGTCATTATTTTTTAATATAGATTTTGTCACTGCTTCTGTATCATTGAAACTCTTTAAAGGAGCCCCTTCGTGCCTAATTCTGACTCCATTTGAAGGCTCATTGAGCCAACAATAATTAGGGGGGAGAGAGAGAGAGATAGAAATGATAATTTCGATAACAAAAAGATAGTATAGTCACTTACCTTAAACTTACCCAAGTCTACCTAGCCCAATCACTAAACCTAGCCTCAACATGAGAACCATCCCTAAGCCTACCCTCAACTTCTCCTCAACCCAAGAACCAACCCTAACGAAACCCACTAAATCGAGATCCAAACTTAGCCCAATAACCTATTGACCTACCTAATTCACTAAATCATGGACCCATTAGTCTACCCACAAACTCGTTAGCTGCTGTGTCCAAACTAAGCTACCTAACCCGAGGCTTAGACTAAATCAAACTTAATCATGCTTAATTGAACCCTACAAAGCTGAATAAACCCTACTCGAGCACACACTAAATCAAACCCATCTAACCCAAGCTTAAATTTCCGTTACCAAGCCTAAGACCATCTAAACCTAGCCTAAACACTATTGTATTCACTTCATCCTAACCTAAAGCGATAATCAAAAAAAAAAAAAAAAAAAAAAATATATAT